TTTGACTTAATTTGAGTCAAATTTTCAGACTAACAAGACAAATAATCTTACACATTCTGAAAACAAGATTATTATTCTTACACAATCAGTTCTTGTTTAGTAAATCAGTCTCAAAACGAGATCAAAAAGACTTCCACAGCAAAAACAGGAGTGTTAAACTTTTGGGTGTTGATTTAACACCCCCTAGTGTTAACACTTTCTGAGTACAAAAAAGTAAAAGTAAAATCATTCATTTCAGTGGACAGTCATCTACGACCAATTACAATTTTGTCAACTTGATTGATTACCTGTTAGCAAAATATTTCATGCAACATTTAGTGTATTTTAATGAAACCCTTAAAGTAATCATCAGATGCACGTCTGCAGCTGATTAATCTTTGAACTCCTGATTCAAGATGGTTTCCAAAGCGAATTGAAAAACAGCCACAGTGAAGACATTTTTAGACCAAATGAGACAAAGTTTAGTACCGAGTTATGTTGATTCAAGATGAGGTTTTTTTTTCTACTTTTATCATCTGTTCTGTGCGTTCTTTATCTCAGCTCATTTCTTCCTGTGTGCCCAGTTGCTTTCAGAATAACGTTGAGATCCACGTGGGGCACATCCAGAGCGGTCTGAGTCAGCTGGGTAATCTGCACGCATTCGCTGCCAACAACACCAACGCAGTCTGAGGACCTGCATGCACTCAGAGCCGTGTGACGTGTTGACGTTCCTGAAAATGGTGCTTTCACACAAACTGTTCAGAGACTATTAAAAAAGACTGTTGTTGACATTAAGATCACCGATTACCGGGGTCTTGATGSTTTTCGTTCCCTCAGATCTCAGCAATTCCATCTTTTTAGGTGTGGCTGCTGCAGCAACACACACACTCACAAAGCCTGCATCACTGATCTGAGTGTAAAAATCTTAAGTTAATGACTCTTTCCTAGAGAGAATCTTCTTTTTTCAGTTTTGTAAAGTTGTATATGAAAGTGCCTCAGGGCATTTGTACATAAATGTTTTCCTCTTGTTATATTAAACTTAATATTGCAACACAGTTTTTGTTTGTCCAAGTTTATTCACAGATTACAGATAAAACTAATGCACAATTGTATTAATTCTCTTTTAAACACCAGCCTTTTTGCAATTTTATAATAATAAATTCRGGTTTTCATCATTCTTAACAAGATGCATTAAGCCTTTAATGTTACATAAAGCCACCAAAGTCAACGATGGTTTTGTTTTCCCACTCGGAGTCAGAGTCTGTGATTTCCTGCGTTTCAGTGGTTTGGATTGGAGAAAAGTGACAGAACCCCTCTGTGGCCCTCAGCTGTGGAAACTGCATTTGTCCCCCGTTGTTTTCTGGAGATGACCTGCTGAAGTTATTTCGGATCGGGATGTGAGGAATCACGACTTTCATCTCCGGACCGATGGTTTTATTCGGCGGGAAATTTTCATACTCCGTCAGAACCTTTGGGTCAGCGGTCGCTTTGGCTCCCGTCTTGGCACGGTGCTCGCTTTTGTTGGCGCGAAGACGGACGTCGCAGCTCGGGTTCGGCCGCGTTGGCTCAGCCGGCGTCGCTCTGGGTTCGTCCCTGGCGTAGAGGCAGGAAGGTGGTGGCTGGTTGAAGCCGCTGGGTTTGGTTGGAAAATGGGTCCCGTGAGTTTCCCCGCTCTCTACCTTCGATGAACTCTCATCAGAAAAAGCACCTATCTGATGGACCTCAGTGTTGTCATAAACTAAAAGAAAAACAAGTTGACATGGATGGTCTTGAACATTCAGGCATGAATGGATGGTAAGTCGATTAAAAAAAATACCCTTTTCTGGACCCATTCTACTTGGAAGATGGACAAAACGCCCCCCAGCTGGTGTGTTGGGTGCCTTTACTGAAGAGCGAACTTGACGACGAGATTTGGCCCTTCTGTTCTGAAACCACACCTGAAACAATAAAACCAGGTGAAATTCTCAGTCTGCTTAGCAGGGCTGTCCAAACATTTTGTCACATGGACCAAAATCAGAAAGTCAGAAGGACTTGAGGGCCAAAAATATTTTTCCTTTACCTGCTCAACAATAAACTAAACATTGAATACTTTAAAACAAATAACGTAGTCAGATTTACTGCTGGAAATGGGTGTGTAAATTAACGTAGATCCACAACTTTAAAATTGTTTTCCATGTTTCCCTTATTGAAAGAAATTTTTGCAATTTTCTAGGTTTCACTTGGGGAAAAAAATAACCCAATTTAGTCAATTCTAATCAATAAAATCAGTCTTTAGGTCACTCTTGTTGAAAATGCTTGCTGTATTCAGACTAATAAATTAATTAAAAGCAGATTGGAGTGCAGCAAAATCAGCTTCTGAGTAGAAGTCACTAAATAGATGTGGAAAAAGCTAAGAGTCTGGTTATTTAAAGATTAAAAAAATTGTTGCCAATATTTTTTATTATAAGATTTTACTTTGTGTTAAATTTGCCCTAATAATAAATAGAAAGTCTCCATCTACATCAAACACCTGCCGGGGAGACAAATTTGCAAACAAATTAGTATAATTCTTGAACTGAAGTCAGGGGCCACACAAAATCAGTTCAGTGGCCACAAATGGCCCCCGGGCCACACTTTGGGCATCCCTGGTTTACAGCAACAGATTGTGGTGCTGGAGTCTGATGCTGCTCCCTTGCAATCTGTCCATTCTAAATAATAATAATTAATAAAAGAGGGAACCAACCTGAATTCTGGACTCTGGCAGCCCGGTCGCAGCCTCCAGCCTCTCCCTCAGGTAAATGTCTGGATATTTTGTATCGGAGTAAACTTTCTCCAGCAGCTCGATTTGCTGCTGAGTGAAGTTGGTCCGTTTTCTCCTGTGGGTCAGGATCGAGACGCACCTGTCCTCCATGGGGTCAGAGTTGAAGAACTCTGGAAGCAAAAAGGCGAGTTGGAGATGCGTAAAATGCGCGCAGCTTTGCGCTGAACTTTCCAAAAAAAAAAAGTCACCAACCTGAATTCAAGCCGCTCGTCTGCGGAGAGCCTTCTTGGTACACCTGGTAAGGTCTCAGCGTGTTCCCCTGGACTGCAGACATGACGAGCCCCTACCTCTGGACTCCAGCAAACTGACTGCGATGGAGACKTTTTGCTCCCAGCCGGGTTTTAAATCCTCCCCACCTGCGATCAAAGGACGTGTGAATGGCTCGACCATCGAGGCCGGCTGGCACCGCGGAGGTGTGAACCGTCACACCAGGAGCTCTGCTGCGGCCCCATGTCTGTTTAGAGAAGCCTAATGGAAGGCAGGAGCTCAATACACATTGTCAAAAAAAATCCACTGTGACTGAAAAGATGCAAATGTTCGACGTAGTTTACGCCAAAAACTGGGCAGAGGTAGATACTAAGGTTTAAAAATACCTTTTTAAAAGTGGAAGTGTCGACTCAAGCTTTTTTAYTCAAAAGTATAAAAGTACTAGTTGTAAAACTTAAAAGTATAAAAGTAAAAGTAAAAACCTAAAGGACAAAAAAAGCTTCGCTTTTTCAAGTGGTTACCAAAGTTGGGCTCGGGACCCAAACTGGGGTCCTGAAAAGATTTTCCTACATTAATTCCATTTTTGCCTTAGTTGCCAAAAATGTATAAATGTAGAATAATAAATATTGTTACTATGCCCATGTTTAGTTGACCTGATACAAATGTTTATTATCCAAAAATAGTTGTGGGCACAGGTCTCTGCTACTGTTATTTTCCCAATAATTGTTACAAAAACACAAAATAAGTATAAATAAGTATTTATATTTGTGTAGCCTTTGTTTTTAGGGAGGGTTATTAACAAAGTTTGTGTACTCAGACCAGTRATATTTGGGGTCACAAGATTTTGCAATTAATATTTTGTGGGTCAGAAGATAAAACGTTTGGGAACCACTTTTTATCTTCTGACCCACAAAATAT